TATTTGCTTCTCTTTCACTTCTAAGGATGCCACATTGCACCGTGGAAGTAGAGCAACAGAGAGTATGTAACCTGGCTCTGAGGCTGCAGAAACTGGAGAATGGCGAGCACCTCTTCAAATTCTGTGGGTTTCCCTACGTAGTACTGTGGTTTCTGTTTATGGCAGTCATGGGCTGTGATGAGGTGCTGAGTGCAATGCCAGGGACAGGGACTTGTGAACCCTGGAGACTAGTGTTCACATCTTGACTTCTGTGACTTGAACCACTTGCTTAGTTTTTCTGATTTCTAATTTCACAGAAATAATTATGCCTGTCTTACTAGGTTGTGAAAATCTTAAGACGTTAAGGTAGTCCCCATCTTCCTTCCCTCGCAAGCCTCTACCCCTACAGGGGTAGAAAGGAAGATTTCCTCTTAGCTAGAATTCCGCTAAGCCTGGGGAGACAGCTAACCAAAGGGGCTAAGCTTGGGGTTAGAAGACGTTAGTTTGAGGTTCTATTTTTTCGTTTCTTCATTGTTTACTCTTGGTATGTTAATGATCCTGTCTCCCATGAAACAGGGATACCAATACCCAACTCACAGGGAGTTCCGAGGCCTAAAAAGGCATGTAGGGTGCTATATAAATGTCACTCTTCCTAGAAAGAAATGGAAATCAGGTATCTGTAACCAGCTCAGAGGATTGTGCATCTAGTATATTCTGTTAGAGGACATGGTAGTGTATTCTCATATAGCTTGACACTCTCTCATAGTTCTTTTAAAATTTCCTGAACATTGGATACACCTATGTTCCAGTGTGAGAACAGAAATGCTTCCAAAGCTAAGCACTATTGTTTTTTTCCCCCTCTTTTTCCTGGGAGTTTCTTGTTTAGAAAATAATATCAACTTCTCCTAGACCAGGCTGTTAGTAGACTAGTGTCTTTCTCATCAAGGTTACAGGTCAGCAGCTGAAGCCAGCCAGCTCAATACTATAAAAGACTGTGGCCTCCTCATACCTGCCTCTCTGCCTGTCATGGTGGCAGCAGATGGTGTCACTTCTCAAGTTGGTGATGAAAAAATATAGGAAGAGAGGGAGAGGAGGGGTCAGACCCAACTCAGGTTCTGGTTTGGACGGTAGAGGCTGCTCTCTGAGCTGGAGGAGGCTCTGAGCCTGATTCTCAAAGTCTTGCTTTGTTTTCCATCTGGCTTTGGATAGTCAGACTAACTTCTGGGTCAGATACCTCTTTACCACTTCAGCTTCAAAAGATTCAAGTGAATTAACAAGGCAGGTTTGGTCTTGTTCCTGAAGAGATTCTGGAATGCCTCAGTTGATCCTCTCCAGCCCTTTCCTGAAACACAATAGAATGTCACCATTTCCTCTCTGATTTCTTAAAACTAAAGTGTTTCTCCCAATTGTTTTTTACTTCAAATTTAAACAAAAACGTGAAAATTTTTTCTTGCAATGCTTTTTTTTTTTTTCAGTACTATATGTTGAACCTTGACATTCTCTCCACTGAGCTACACCCCTCACCCTTTTGATCTTATTTTGAGACAGGGTCTTGCTAAGTTGCCAAGACTGGCCTGGAACTTGTAACACCTCTGCCTCACACTCCCAGGCACTGGGGTTATAGGTGCACACCACTCACTATGCCGTGCTGAAAGTTCTTAGAAAAAGTTGTACTTTTGCCTCAGGAGAAATTTTCTTTGTAGGTATGTCTGGCTGTGGTTGGAAATTAATGGGAAGAGTGTACGGGGCTTCCTGATTTGCTCCCTAAAAAATCTAAATATAGAATTATAGGAATATAGAGACCAGTCATCCTAGTCATATCTCTGGCTCATAGTGTTTTCTGGAAATTTTGTCTGTCAGGGACCCTTCCACTTAAGGTCACACAGAGGCCTTCCGTGTTCATTAACTTTGCTGCAGGTCACTGAAGTAGGCTGGACCTCAGCATAAGAGATGCCTCAGGTACCCTATGTTGATGGAGATTTCTGTGTTCTTCCCGGGCAAAACTTCCTTCTGCAGCACTAATCCATATCGTAATGACTAGCCTGAGCATCTCACTGCAGAGGATGGATGCTTCTAAGGGGATATTGCACCATTTTGAGCAAGGAGCAGAAGACAGAGCCAAGTTTCTCTCTCACCAGGCTCTCTTCTCTCAGAGACCATCTAAAAGTGTTCTGGGGAGTCATAGAATTCCTAAATCACTACCCTTTTCTCTAGAAAGAAAGCAGAAACAAAGAACAAGCTTAATGCATGCTCAGTAGGATCCTGTGGATTGTAAGCTCTGTGAGGTCAGAGACCACCTGCCATCCATGCCAACACCCCCAACAGCTTGCCCAGTGTGCACAGCAGCATGAGTGCCCAAGGACTCTCCCACTCCCCCCACAGGCGCTGCTTCCCAAGGCTCCGCACCAGCCTGACTCTCAATGCCATGGTTCTGTTTTGCCCATTCTGGAGCTTTATGAGAATATGTGCTCTTTTGCATCTTCATTTCTCATTAGTCCTCAGAACATCAGGCGCATCATGTGGTTGGGAGCGGCAGGAGTCCATTCATTCCCATTGCAGTCTTCCCGGTGCATCCACCCTATTGTTGATGGACACTTGGGCGGTTTGCAGTCTAGGACTATGTCAGATAGTGCAGCTGTGCATGCTTTTGTACTGATCTTCTAGTGAGCATGCGCATGCATTTTGGTCAGGTGTATACTCCAGGAGAATTTCTAGGTCTCAGAGCATGTGAAGGTTCAGTGTTAATAAATAACAAATAGTTGTCCAGCTTTACAGTCCCACTAGCAGAGTTCCTGTTGCAGCACCCGCTGGCTAGAACTTGATAGTGTATGTTCTTTCCAGTAAGTAGGTATTGGTACCATCTTGGGGTTTAATTTACATTTTTCTGATGACGAAGGAAGTTGAGCATTGTTTGTTTCTAATATGTATATATATTTTACTTGTAGGAGGACACAATACCTTTATTTATTTATTTTTATGTGGTGCTGAGGTCAAACCCAGTGCCGCATATGAGATAGGCAGGTGCTGTCCCATTGAGCTATAACCCCAGCCCTTGGCATTTTTTGTATGCTTATTTGGATATCCTCTTTTGAGAAATATCTAGCCTAGTCTTTGGCCCATTTTTCTATTGAGTTGTGTGCCTTTTTCTTCCTGAATTTTCTACATAGTCTTGATAAAAGTCCTTTATTTATTTGTTTACTGGTGCTAGAGATTGAACCCAGGGCCTCACATGCCAAATACTTGTTGTACCACCGAGCTACAGCCTACATGTCCTATATATGTTATATAGGTAATCTGAGGATTATTACTTCACCCTATTAATGATAACTTTTGGTGAAAAGAAATTCTTAATTTTGCTTAGTCCGGTTTATCAACTTCGTTCTTTATGGTTAGCAGTTTTTTTTGTGTTTTGTTAGGAAATTTCAGTCTATTTCAAATACAGGGAGTTTAAGTCCAACACTTTTGTTGAAATGAAAACATTAAGGCAGAAAGGGCCCTTTTTCTAGTCTGCTGGGTTTTGACCCTTTGCAAATGTTGGATCCCTTTGCAAATCTGTCTAAAACTCTGAACCCTCTCATAGAAGCACATGTAACACATACATGGCGCACTTCCCTGCAGTTTCAGAGCGTTCAAACTGAGGTCCAAGCTTCCTACGGGCCCCTTTTTAGAGCCCCTAACATTTTACAGAAGAGGTAATTGACCAATAAGCGGGCGTCACGCACCACGCAGCTTGGCCCAGCTGGGCCTAGAACCCAGGTCTCTGGACTTCTGTTCCAGTACTGTTTATAACCCATTTCCCTGCTACAGTCCTTCTGAGAATCTCTGTTTGGCAGAGCCCAGAAGAGAATGTGTTTAGTCGAGGAGGTTTCTGTCCACCAGTAGCAGAAGATGGCTGCATGGTGACGTTCCTCTGCTTTGTGTATTTACCTTAAATGTTTGAGCTCCAAGGAGTCTGTGACTAAGCTTTCTGAAGGTGAGCTGGGAATTATCATGGTCTGTGCATCTGCCTCGAGCCGTGACTCAGCGCCCTGGGGTTGCTGCATTGAACTTCGCAGTGTGCAGCTAACTCCCTGCATTCTGCTCCAGTTCCTGGTTAGTTCTGGCTGTAATTTTAAAAAGCGCCTTATGTAATAAGTTACCAGCCTCTGTTCTCAAGTGGGTGAGGTTTACCAGAATGGTTGCTCCAGGGAGAAAATTAAAAAGGGTGGAAGCAGAGAAAGGAGCTGTGAGCTTCTTGTCGGCCTATGTCAGTTCACAAGTAGTCACCCAGTAGATGGGCCAGGCCACAGGAGCCAGAGTTGTTAATAATTTTACCTGTACCTGTGGCTTTCTCCCTGTCACTGCCCACAGTAACTCCTTCAAAGGTTCTCAGTGAGCCAGGTACAGCACCATGTGCCTGTAATCCAAGTGACTTGTGAGGCTAAGGCTAGAGGATCGCAAGTTTGAGGCCAGCCTCAAGAACTTAGCAAGACCCTGACTCCAAAAAAAAAAGAAAAAAAAATGGTTTTTTAATTGTTTAAAGAGCTGGAGATGTAGTTCAAAAACATGTCGGATTCTAAGCAGACTAGGCAGTATACAGGAGGCAGAGCCAGGTATTTTAAAGAGATCACTGAAACCCCAATACCGGGCATGTCTGGAATGAATCCTGTTACCTTGTCAACATGCTCACAAGCACAGTGCTGGGGATGTGCATTCCAGACTCACAGCACGGTCATTGTGTACATCTAAAAGTGAAAAAGACTATTGGGTTCTTTGGGCCACATACACCCTGAATGATATCACTCTCCACATGAAGGAAGTCAAGTCCATGGTAACATCCTGGAGTAGGAGCCTATCAGATCTGACAGACAAATAGCATTCCCACTTATTTTATCCCATTTTATGTCTTTGCCCTGAGCGCCCCCCAGAGCAGCTCTTCTGTCTCATCATGTAGTTATGATTAAGTCATCAAGGAGTGCTAGAGGGTCAGCTAGGGGTGCTAGAGGGTCACCTAGGGGTGCTAGAGGGTTACCTATCTGAATAAGGTGCATTTGTTCTGACATTTCAAAAGCATTTATTGAGCACCTACTATGTGCTTCAGAGTGTTGTACTATACAATGGGGATGCAGAAATTTATCGGACAAGGTCCCCATCCTCAAGGAGCTCACAGTCTAGCCAGAGGGACGGGTGAGTCCTTTGATAGGCACTATACAATGGGGTAAGTGCCACTCGGGAGGTGAGCAAGCACAGGTGCATGAGACCATCTTGGCATTTCTTGGAGTAGGAATCCTCAAGCAAGTATCAAGTCTACTAGGCAGAAAGTGGTGGGAACAGCAGGTAGGCAGCATACACAGGGATACAAAAGCAGCAAGCTGAGGTGCTTGGAATATAAGCCTGAGAGAGGGAAGGGGCAAGGATGCCCAATCACAGACTTTTTTTTTTTTTTTCCTATATATAACTAGGGATTGAACTCAGGGGCACTTTACCACTGAGCCTTTTTATTTTATTTTTATTTTTCAGTGCTAGGAACTGAACCTAGGACATCATTCATCCTAGGCCAACGCCATACCACTGAGCTACATTCCCAGCCCTTATTTTTTACTTTGAGACAGGGTTTCACTAAATTGCTGAGGCTGGCCTTGAACTTGGGATCCTCCTGCCTCCGCTTCACAAGTTCTGGGATTACAGGCATGCACTACTCTGCTGGCTGCATACAGGCTCTTATCTGTGCCTTTCTCCTTTTTAAGAGATCTACCAAATCCAAAGGCTGACAACACACTCATAACTCAAAACTTCACTTATCCCAAGGACTCAGGTTTTATTGGCATCCATATCACTGTTTCAACAGATAGATACCTAGACCAGAATCACTTCCCCCTTACCAGTCACGATAACCTTTGGTAACCTTTCACTCCCTGAGCTTCGGAGCATCCCCGTCTGCCCATCACTGCCCCACTTCTAGAAAAATCTTCCATAGAACATCCCTGAACCTCTCTGCACATCCATCCCAACAGCCTCCATTTTCTCACCCTCTCTTCTTTTCTCTTTCAGGCTTGAAGAATTCAGTGATTTACAGTTCACTAAAACTGCACAAAATGTGGAAAGGATGGCTGAGGAAAACATCCTGATTTTGCTTGCTTTTTATAAGTGTTATGTATAGATGAATAAAGTGTTTGATCCTTTTTAACAGAACAGTGTTTGTTACCTTGACCCACTGCGTGAATTTTGAAGAGACTGCTATTTGTCTTCTATTTGATTTTTTTGAAATGTATTCATCAGATATTTACCCAGGTGGGATTCCAAATATGTAAGAGGGCTGAGCAGCCAAAGAAGAGAACCATGAGTCCTGCATTTTGTAGACATTGGAGATCAGAGACACGACAGGTGATGTGTGCACAGATGGACATGCAGCCCAGGAGGATTGCAGGCTGGGTAGGCGGAGCTTGGCCTGTCTGCTTCTGTCCATAGTCTCTCTCTTGTTTCCTCTGGCTTTGCCAGCAAGAGTATCGTGTGAGGATTTTTCTGGATTAGGCTTTTTATCTTTTTGTTTTCCAAGGTGTGTGACAGAGTGACTTTCAGATGAGGAGCCTGAGACAGACACTACAGAGCCTACAGACATGTTTAGGCAACAGGACCCCCATGACAGTTACCTGGACTAACAGGATGGACTCATTCATTCTCCCCAGTCTCTTTCCATCTCTCTGCTGTTCGCCCTTCACAGTGTTGGTGTCTTACTGAAGCTGGCTTCCCTCATAGTTGTGAGAATGCTGGCAACCATTTCCAGGGCTGTCGTTTCCCTGTCCCATTTTGAGGAGACAGAAGATTCTTTTCAGGACTTATCTTAGAAACACAAGAAGGAAAACTTCCCAGCAGCCCCCAGCAAGCCTCTGTTTGTATTCATGGGCCCTAATTGAGTGACATATTCATTCCTGAGCCATTAAGTGACAGAAGGATGGACCATGCTGATGAGCTCAGGCCTGAGCTCCTTACCCCTCTCCAAGAGGCCGCTTCCCCACAGGCTCTGGGACTGCGGAGAAGGACTGGACACCTGAATAGAAACTGAGGAGGAAGGGCATCAAGAAGCAAGCCCATATCCATCTCATTACATGGATCTGTCCAGTCAAAGCTCAAGATTCTTTTTTCCTTCACAGCCATGTGACTTTGGATGAATTATTTAATCTCTCAACAGTTTCACCATCTGGGAAACAGGGATAACATTACAATATTTCATGAATTGAGAACTAAGATTTATTCATTCTTTGTCATTTGCTGCCATCATCTTTTGTACCATGGTTTTTGTTATTTTCTTCCTTAAAAAGCTAAGATGATTTCCCACTGCTTATAGGACAAATAAGAATCTTACCTGCCTTGCTGGGTGCAGTGGCACATGTCTGTAATCCCAGGAGCTTGGGAGGCTAAAGCAGGAGGATCGCAGGTTGAAAGCCAACCTCAACAATTTAGTGAGGCCATGAGCAACTTAGCAAGACCCTGTCTCAAAATACAAAAAGGCTGAGGGATGTGGCTCAGTGGTTAAACACCCTGGGAACCCTCCCCAAAAGGAAGAATCTTACCAGCCTCAACCATACCTTCTATAATTGGGCTTTATTTTACTTAAACCTTTGCCCCTGTGTCTGATACAGCTTTTTATATCCCCAAGGTAGATAACTTTGCAAAGTAGAGAGTGTCAGAATAGCAGATCCATTCTACAGATGTGGAATCTGAGACTTCTGGAGAGAAGGCGACTGCCTGGGGTCATAACAGGTGAGTGACGTAGCTGGGACTTGAACCCAGCTCCCAAGCGTCTGTCCCGTGCCTTTTCCCACACACCCTGCAGCTCTCATGAGAAATGAACACTCAAGTCTTTGTGTTCCTCTGTCCCCTACATGCATTCTCATATTCCTCTTCCTTGATCCAGTTGAAAGGTACATACTTTCTAAGTTGGGAGTTATCCAACTGGTACATAAGGATGAGAGGTGAGCGTTCCTGTGGGGAAGATGGAGCCCTTTGGCAAGAAGTAGTGCTTTTTGTTACTGAAGATCCAAGAAAGAAATGTGTTCCCTCTCCAGCTGTGTCCTTGGGCAAGTTTTTTAAAACTTAAGAGCCTCAGTCTCCACATCTGTAATGTAGGCATACTCACACCCCTCTGTCAGGGTTGGTGTTAGAATTAAGTGTGATAATTCATAATCCATCTAGTGTGGTTCTTGGTACATAGTTAATATTTCTACAAGTATCGTAGCCATTCAATTCAAATGGTGAATTTGGATAGCTAGAGGTAATCCCACATTAGTTAGAGTCCTGTTATGAAGAAAGAAACTACCCTAAGTATATCAAGTAGAAGGAATTTAATATAGGGAAATAGTTGTTAAAATATTGAAGGAGCTAATAAGAGAGAAGGGGGGTGCTAAAGGAGGAAGAGGGGCTGTGTGCAGAGAGCAGGGAGCTGCTTACACCCCTGTGCTAGAATCTACAGGCCAAAATCTAATGCTGTGTTGCTGCCTATGGTGGTTTAAAAAAATACATCCTCAAATTCTTTGGCCCTCCTTCCATCAGTATGTGGAATTTAATTTTCCTTCCTTGAATATGAGCTGGCCTTAGTGACTTGCTTGTAACAGAATACAGTAGACAAAGATATTATGTGCCTTCTTCTGAAGCTAGATCTCAAGAAAGAGAACAAAAGATAATAAACTTCAGCCTGGCTCTTGGGATGCCTCTTAACACCCTTAACAGCTTCTAAGGTTGCCATGTTATAAGAAATCCTGGGACACTCAGCCAGCCAGCTACAGCCAACATCAACTGCCAAGTGAGTGGGTGAGCAAGGCTTTGCCACAACTCCAGCCCCAGCCCCTTTTCTGCAACAGCTGGAGATACCCCAAGCAGGAACCACTTAGCCAAGCCAAATCAGCTCCCCAAAATCTAAGAAAACAATAATTCTTGAAGTCAATAAGTTTGGGGGAGGCTTGTGGGCAGCCTTAGATAACTGGCATAGTGCCCCCACCACTGCTGGAGATGCCACTTGTCAATCACCAGTGCTTGCTGCTGCTGTTGAGTCGACCCTGGGAACTTCTCTCATCCTCACACCTGATCTGCCACTGTCTCCAATGGGAAAAACTGAATAGAAGCTGGGGACTGTG